AGCATTCCAGCATTTAAAAGTGAATAAATCTTTTGTGTCTCGTAACATCGCTCGTACCGCACCGTGATACTGGTAGCGTAGCCCGACGTCAAGGAAGTGGACGGAAGAAAACAGCAACATCAGCAGAAATGGTTCGAAAAGTAAAGAACGGACTTGATCGAAACCCGCGTCGCAGTGGCCGAAAAATGACTCGCGAGCTGAACATATTGCCATATTCCATTCGGCAAATATTTAAAAATAAGCTCGGGGTAAAGACTTCGAAATTTCAAAAAGTGCAAGAACTTACACCGCAACGGAAAGAAAATAGACTCAAAAGAGCTAAAGAGTTGCTTCGCTTGGCCGAAAGTGGTGAACTACCGAATTTGGTTTTCTCTTTTTCCGATAAGAAAACATTCGTTGTCCTGCAGTTTGTAAACAAACAAAATGATCGTGTTTACTTGCCAAAAAGTTCGGCTGAAAATGTGCAGCTTCGGTTAGCCACTCAACTCAAGCGCCGATGGTCGCTCTCCACTCGTATTAATCGACCGTGGCATCAGAATAAATGGCGAATATTATCGGAGGGTGTATTAAAGCCTTGGGCATGCAAACATTTTGGCCGCAGACCTTGGACATTCCAACAGGTTTCAGCACCATCGCACTCAGCACGTGCCACCCAAGAATGGTTACAAAATGAGGTTCCTCGCTTCATTTCCAAAATCTCCGGATATCAATCCGTTGGACTATTGTGTCTGGAGTATTTTGGAAAGAAAGGTTGGCACTAAAAAATACCAAAGTGTCGATCACCTCAAGCAGGCTGTTCGCCGGGAATGGGCCAAAGTACCGCAAAACAACATTCGGGCAGCGTGTGACGGTTTGATTGATCTTTGAAGGCCATAATTCGTGCCAAGGGGGACCAATTCGAACAAATCTAAACTTATTCTAAAATTTGATGCTATTTCCGATAATTTTTGCTTTCATTCAATGAAATTAAAAAAAATTAAAAATTATGGCTTTTGACTTTGTTGCAGTTTTTTTATCTCACCATGTATATTAAAATCTATTATTTTATAATTTTAAGTATTTATAACTTTTTTTATAAAGAAAATTTTCACATATAACATATAATATAAACACTAATGAGGGTTTGGGACGAGATGCGCAGATATTGAATTCCCGTCGTAAGCCTTTGGAAATTATTTTAATTATTTAATTTTTATTTATTTATTTATTTTTTTGTTTTTTTTGTCATTTTTTAATATTCATTTTCCATCATCCAACCTAATATACCGTAGTTGCTCTCCTAAACCAGGGGGTCACACACTCACTCCCCCTTTGCTCTATTAATCCATTAACGAATTTTTAATTTTTTCCCCTCCTCCTCCTCCTCCCTCTTCTAAATGACAAATTTCGTTGTAAATGGTGTTCCACATAATTAGATCGCACGATCTTTTGAAGTCCAGCCGATGCTTTACAAGTTTTTTTTTAAACCCTGTGTTAAAATACATTTCCATAGATTTGTCAATGAACCTGTAAATGTTGATGGCGATACAGAGAAGACCCCTTCAATTAGATTAGTTAAAATTAAGTGATTAATGGAATTAAAATTATTTCCCTAATTCAGGCATTAACAAATTGTAATTTTCGAGATTATTTGGATTTCGAACATAATTTGTTAATCTCCATGGGAATAATCGAATGTAATTTTCAAAGGGTGGATTTGGAATATTTGTAAAAAGAAAAGCCTGATATAAAAATTTTGTTTAAGATAGAGTATTAAGATAAAATGTAAACGGTAGCAACATGAAGGAGATATCAGGTGGATAGATAATTAAATTATAATTTCAAAAGAAAAACTATTTTGACAGATTACAAAACAATATTTTTTGGCTCTATCAAAAAATACTTGAAAATATAGAATTTGAAGTCTAGAAGTTTGAGAATAAATTAAAAGGTTGAATTTTTGGCTGTGTCATGTGTCCCGTATCTAGGACAAAATTGAAAATTTATAAATTATTTAAATTAGTATTAAATTATTATTTTTACTTATTTGAAGAATTCCATTATAACAAACTTTAAATGATAACATTTTGCTTTAAAGGTGAGAATAAATAAAACGCTTTTTATGACTGGCTAAAGCCATCGGCTGTCTTCTTGGGAAAAAAGGAAAAAAAAACAAAGGAGCTAAGGGCCCAATTCGAACTAAGTCAAAATAAAAATTTGATCCCCAAGAAAGAAGCCAGCCTTTCGCCAGTGAAAAAAAGCGTTTTATGTATGTTCACCTTAAGTCTCTAATACTAATTTTTCCTTTTAAGAAATCTTCCACACTTGTGTAGAGGACCCATATAGTTTTCGTTTTTTTACAACCCTTGATAGGCAAGTTTATCAGTTTACCATGAATGTTCTATTTCTTGGTAATAAGGTAAGAAAAAACAACCAGTCCATCAAAAATAACTAAAAGTCGTTATTTAAAACTTATATACACTAGTTTGGCGAGGTAAAATTTTTATACCCTCCACCAAACTGGACTTATAGCCAAAGTGACTGTATTAAAAATTCCTAAAAAATTTGGAAGTTCTGTCATATTTCGTTATTTTGAAAGAACGCGAAAAATCCATCCTATTTTGGAATTTAGTAACCTCCCGCGGCCTGTGATTCCTAAAAATTATTTTAGAAACAAATTTCAAAATTAAAATTTCCTTATTCCATTATAAGAACGTGGCAAAAATACTCCTTAGCAATGGGTTAGGCTTTTTTCCAGGGCATGTCACACAAAATAAGTACTTGTTTTTTGGTGACAGATAATCGAATATATAAGATGTTTATAAAAAAATCATATGAATATTTTAGAAGAATTACGAGTATTTAATTAATATTAATTATTTTTTTTTTAGTTATATATTCACCACCTGTTTTTAACGATAAAAGCATAATACACACTCACACAATCTCAAGATATGGTTAAACTCTTCGAGAGGCTAATAAATTTTTTATTTATATAGGCTGTAGTTCTAGGATATTTTTTGTAATTTTCAAATCTCAATGTATTTAATTTTTCGTATTTTTTATACCATCCACCATACATAGTATGGAGGGTATATTAAGTTCGTCATTCCGTTTATAACTCATCGAAATAATTAATTTAGCCATAACAAAGTATATATATATTCTTGATATATTCTTGATCAGCGTAAAATTCTAAGACGATTTAGCCCTGTCCGTCCGTCCGTCTGTTTTAATCATAGGAAACTAAAATTTTGTACAGATTAATCTTTTGTGTGCAGCAGGTCAAGTTCGAAGATGGGCTATATCGGTCGACGATATGGAATGGCCCCCATATAACGAAATCCAGATATTTGGTATTTTGATGATTTTAGGTACATTTTTAATGGAATTTTCTCAAATTCTACACAAGAAGCTCACTGTGAGTACTTCATCCTCTGAAAAAGAATTTTCTATATATGTCCACGATATCGTATAGCCACCATACCCATTCCGATATTCGGCATTTTTATGATTTAAGCCAAACTTTTCATTGAAAATCCACACAAAAGGTTTTCTCTGAGTAGTTTATCCTCTGGGAGAGAATTGCCTATATAGGTCTACGCTTTAGTATAGCACCAATATAACTCTACCTCGAGATATACGGTATTTCCAGAATTTTCGCGACATTATTCACCGCAAGTGTGTCAAATTGCGTATTTGCGAAGTTCGTAATGGGTACTACAGCCCATGACGGAAAATTGTCTATGCAGATCCATGTCTTAGTATAGCCTCTATATAACGGTACCTCGCTTTATTTGGTTTTGTGATGATATTAGCAACATTATTCACCGGAATAGCTTCGAATTTTCGTATTTGAAGTTCGTAATGGGTACTACAGCCTTTGACAGAAAATTACTTATCCCGCATCACGTCTTCGCATAGCTTCCATATAAAGTTTTTTTTATTTGAGCGGCATTTTTCAACGGATTTTTAATATTAATATTATTATTATTTTTATTATTATTATTATTATTATTATTATTATTATTATTACTTTATTTATTTTTTTATTGTTATTATTATTATTATTTTTTTATTTTATTTATTTTATTTTTTTTGGAAACTTTGCAAGTCTCGTGGAGGGTAAAAAAAGTTCGGCCTTGTTGAACTTAGCTGTTTTTTTTTTTTTATTTTTTTATAATTTTGTGTATAAAACTGTCTTTATAAACTTAGTTCACACTTTCTATGCACATGTTTCATACATTTCATGAATTTGTTTCTTAACACTTTTTTTATTAAAAATTAAATTAAGTAATTTTCTTTTCACGAACTTTCTTTTTTCCACATCCGGTCATCCGGTGTCACCGAAGTTTAACGCTTTACTAAACTCCCAACTGATTATGCTGAAAGACACCTGTACGGAGGCACCAGCGATAAGCGTTCGAATGCAAATTACAGATTAGTGCAAATTAGATTGGCCGCCACAAAGACGGGGCTTGTTATGAATGAAATGAAATATTAAATAAATAAAAAAAACATAACATAACAAAAAAAGATTGTTTGTTAGCTAATTTTGCAAAATTGATTGAACGACCCAACGATCGAAGAAGGGTCGTTCATTCATAAAGTTCAAAGTGGATGGGTGGTTATGCTAATCGCTTTGCAGCAGCAGGTAGCCAGTCAGTCAGACGATCGGTTGGTTGGTAATTAATTTACATAGTCCGCTCATACATTATGGATCGGCTGATAACTGAATTAAATTTGTTGTTAATAAATGAAACGGGTCCACGGCTGATTATGCCAAGATGTTGCAGATGTTGGGTCAAAGCGTTCGATGATTATGACTCTGTAGCAGATTTTGAATTCATTCATTAAAACTTAAGTCCGGATAATATTCATTCATAAAATTAAAGCTTCGAATATATTTTTGTAATTAATTGGTGCCTCGTCTCAATTAGCATAATTAAATGCGTTTGCTGAGCGATTGAAGTTGTGATGGTTGTCCCCTTTGAGGGTCAGAGTTCATGGGCACTACTTACCTAATATGTGTTTGCAAACAGTAGACGAAGATATCCTTTGGTTTTCGATTATTTGCACTTTTTTTAATTTTTACAACAGTTGGGGATAAATAAATAATTTTTGTTATTTATTTATTTGTTTAAATATTTTTCCAAATTGTTTTATATTTCACTTTTTTGGTTTTTATCTTATCTGAAGCTTAAATAATATTTCTTCCTTGATGCTATTCTCCAAGAGGAGTGCAGCCTAATGGATCCACAACTTGCACGATAATGAGATACGGTTTGGCAACGACCGACTAACTAAGTGCCAGCTACTGTGTTTTGGGTTGTTCTTTTCCTTTTTTTTATTTTTTTTTTTGGTTTGAAAAATTGCAGTTTTTCTGCGTTTCACGGATTCAGTTTTTTTCTTTTACGTAACGGGGAACGACGACGGAACACGGTACGCTTTGGTCGCGCAATCAGCAACTACTGTAACACCGACCGTTGCAAGCAAGAGTCGCGAGTGAGCTAAATACGGACAGTGTGTGTGGCGAAACAAAAAAAAAAAAGAAAACAGCCGTAACGCCACCGAACCTAACAGAAGCAGAATAACAACAACAACAGTAGCAAACACACACACACACTAACGAACACGGGGAGTAGGTCGACCAAGTAGTCCAGCCAGTCAGTGAAGAATATTTTATCCAATAGCACCACCAAATCAACAACAACAACGACCATCATCAACAAGAATAACAACAACAACAAGAGCTACCACGTTCTACTCTTATTCACGCATATTCATGCCCACACACCAAACTAACATCCCAACCATTCACTCACTCTCTATCTCTTAGTTAGCTATGTGTGTGTGTTTGTGTTTGTTTGCATTGAGTGTCACTTTTTTGGGGGTAAACGTTTGCTGATGGATCGATTCTCTTGCTGAAGGTGGAACAATAGCGCAACAAACAGGCTACGGCTTTTCTTGTGTGCGATGCTCTTCAGTCCCGTCCGTCTGTCCTACCGTCCCTACATCCATCCCTCCACACTCTATTGTTTTGTGGTGTTGCCTGCTTCGACTACTGCTGGCGTAGAAAACGAAGAAGAAGCGTTACCGTGTGCGTTCCACTGAATGGGGCGGAAGCGGAAAACCAGTTCCATCACTACCACCATCCATTCACCACTTAAAAAGCGTTTTACGTTCACGCTCCTGCTGCCAAAACCAGTTTCCTACCAACCACATTTTGAGTTGCCGTGGCCAGCCGACGCACAAGTACTCGCCATCTATAAATGCCAGCATGTCTTCTGATTGGTGGTTGTTGGCATTTGTTGTCTCTCTCGCACTGATGTGTACGTGGTAAGAAAATGAAATGGTAAAAGTGAACCACGAAGATACAGTGGTTCACAGGCAGACAAGTATAGAAGTCAATTATTCTATTAAAGACTGAGACAATACATGGGATTTGAAAACATTTTTCCACATTTTATTGAAAAAATTTCGTATTTAATTTGGAGGTTAACTCATAGAGAATATTATGGAGGGTGTGTTAAATTTGTCATTTCGTTTGTAACACCTCGAAATATTCGTCGATAACCCCAAAAATTATATAAATTCCTGACCAGAAAAAAAATGATAAGGTAGACGGACAGACAGACGGTAACGATGTCTGTCTGTTAAAATCAGGATGGAGTCCACATTTTTTAAGCTAGAGCTTTGAAATTTGCCACAAAGGCTTGTATTATATGCAGACTGATTGGTGTTTAAAATGGGCTATATTAGTCCACGTTTAGGTTTAGCTTCTATATAACGGTGCCTTCAGAGTTTGAGATTTTGAATGTTCCTCCAACAATTTTCAACAAAATTATATAAATTTTGACAATTGGCGTTCTCGGTTGGTCTGTTCCCTCCTTGCAAAATATGTTCGATTTAGGTCCTCAAATTGATAAAGCCCTCATATAGAGTACCTCCCTATGTTCAGTACTTTTAAAGTTTCTGTCACAATTTCCAACCAAATCAGCTGAAACTTGACTTTTGGGATTCTTTAAAGGTCTGTTCTCTCCTTGCGAAAGATAATCAATTTAGGTCCAATAATAGGTACGGCACCCAAATAAACGTACCTCCAGAATTTAACATATTCTACACTACAGGGTTGCCCATATTCGTTCGTTCGGATTATTCGCATTGATTTGCATTTGTTCCCGTACAAAATTCAATTGTCGCAAAGAATGTTTCCTGCGGACAAGCCTCGTCGATTGGAATGGGCCCAAAGAGTCATGGGTCCGTCGAATATGGGCAAACCTGCATTCAATTTCATTTTACTTTGGTGGAGGTTTTAAAAAGTTAGGCCTGGCCGAACCTACAGCTTCTTTACCTGTTATATACATATAACGATTTCTCAAGAGATAAATATTTCAAAAGTTTCAATAAAAATAGTAATCTCTTGTTGTACAAATGTACTGCATTTTTCTAAGAGGTCCAGGGAGACAATGTAGATTAAGGTTCCCTATAGTAAAGGAATATGTTTAACTAATCCGTAAGTCGTATAGATAAAGGAAAAGTAAAGGGGTCATATTAACATGATGTTTTGAGATTTCCCACGAAAATTACAATTAATATTGAAGTCCTAACAATTCTTATGTCCACAAAGGAGAACTGTTTAAATTTTAGTTTTTCGCTATATTGAAGGCCTGGAACATTATTTCCAACCAAATCATCTATAATTTGATATTTCGGGTACTCAGTGGTTAGGTTATCCTCTTTCCAAAAATATTCAGTATAGGGGGCACCCTTTTTTATATTCTGGTACCTCTCGATGTTTGTTATTTTGAGGATTTTAATCACATGTTTGCAGGAAATTGTTTTAAAATTTGTATTTAGAGCTTGGAGTGGGTTCCAACTCCTGTCATATAATATTGTTTATAAAGATCCACATTTATGATATTCGGTACTTGGACGATTTTAGATAAATTTTCCATCGGATCTGTTTAAAATTGGGAATTTGTAGTACGAAATGGGTACTACGGGTGGCAAAACAAAATTTATATTGATCCGCATACTCCTGTAGCTTTATGTGACATGACCTCCCTATTTCCACAAGATTGTTTCAAATTTAATATTTGAAACTCGACTAACATAACAACCGCTGTAGCAGAAAATTGTTCTTATGGGTTGAAGTTTTAGTATAGCTCTAATTTAGCAATACCGGCCACTTTATGAGATTTTAAAGAATTTAGATGCATTCTCCAACCGATTTGCAGATTATGGGAGTCCCGATTATGGATACTAAAATTTTGACAGGTTCTTTTTGATATTTTTCGTAACTCCACTAATAAAATCTGAAAAAAAGTAATTCTTCATAGAAAGTCTACTTTTGATTATGCAAGATAATATATCAGATACTAAGTCGATTTATATATGTACGTCCCTATTTTCTAATAAAAGTTGATGCCGATTGAGTCATATTTGGATATAGCTCACATATACATTTTCGCCCGATTTGAAGTTTAGTGTGATATCTGAAATATGTAATATCTGACCATCTAGAACATATGTTGGTATATAGGACCGAGTTTAGCGCAGAAACAAGCTTAATAACATTGATGAAAATCGGTACAGATATAGCAAAAGCTACTATAAATGTTTTTTCCGATTATTAAAATCTCCAAATGACATAATATGCTCTCCACAACAGTGTTGTTAGGTACATGATATTAGGTATAACCTAATATTATGACTATGTGGAGACCTATATATGAAATCGGATGAAATGAAATTATTTAAGCTATACTGAAAACCTCAATAAGGGCTGAGGTTATTTGCAAGATCTCAAATTCAGTCTAACTGGTCCAATAGGAGACATTTATATAGGAGAGGATAAAAATTATCTATTTCATCAATCTGAACTATGTACTAAATTCCAAAACTCTGGCAACTTTTTAGTAACTTTCAGTGAACAATTTTCAAACAATTTGCCTTGTTTCATGCCTCTCACAAATAGTGACCAATGCTATTATACCAAGTACTTCAGCTATTAAAATTGTAATTTTTTCCACCCTGCTATTTTCGAGTTCCAACTACACCACTTTGTATTGAGTATCATTGGTTCCTTTTTTAGTTCACAAAGTTTTGTTCTGAGTCGATTCCGATTTCTAATTTTTGATTCAAATCTATATCCCAGCTCTCAGAATTATAGCTTAAACAGCTCCAACAATGATATATATGCAAAATTTTTAAATTACACCTCTAAGAGAACATTTGATATTCAAAAAAAAACCTTTTAGATTTTTTTGTTAGAATTTCCAACAATTTTCGTCCGTTGCTGTTTATGACTTCAATAGGTATATATAATCTGTTATATAACCTACAATCATCTATAAGTTTTACATTTTCCCCCATTTTCTCTTGGTCAATTTCAAAAGATTATAAAGTTTTTCGTACGGAAACTCCCTTAGATTATTTCTAAAATAATAAGCAGTTTTACCAACAAAAAATATTCAACAAATTTTTGCACTGCACCACTGTGCCGCAATAAAGACCTCCCCTTACTAAAGAAATATGCTGCCGATGTGTGTGTGTGAATATGCATCTATGTGTGTTCATGGCATAGAACTTCGTTTCACATTATAAAGCAACAACAACAACAATAACAGTACCATTAACCATTTAAAGTGAAACTGCCAAGTGTAGCAGGGATAGACCGTTGCTGCAGCATAACGGTTACAGCAACGTTTCAACCCACGTTACGGCCAATCGCAACGCTTTGAAAAGCAAGGAAGAGACCCCAACACCGAACCGGGCAACGGAAAAAGTACACCCACTCGAAGCTAATGAATGTTCGGAGAATGATAAATGAAATGAATATTCGGAAGGCCGCAACCATCCAACTTTTTTTTTTTGTTAAGGGTAACGGAAATTGACGCTTTAACGCTGTTTTCAGCGTTATCCCTCTCCCCAGCAGATTCCTTGCCATTCTCCTTTCGATGTGGGGCAACTCAAAATTGTCACCCATTATGGATGTCATTACGGCTGGGTGAGCTGCTGGTATAAATGTTTTCGTTAATTGAAAATACATATCTGCGACCTTTTGTGTTTGCACCGGTCTGTGTGTGTGTGTGTTGGTTCAATTGTATACAATTGCAAAGTTTTTTTTCGTACACCGAAGAAAATAAATTGAAATTGTATTCGTTATTCGTTATTTTAGGGCATTTGATGTCTTAAGTACATCATCAAATGAAAGCATTCTTTAATTTCAGATTTCGAATGCAGGGAGAGAAACAGATATTGTTCATCTAGTGACATAGTTCATCCTGAAACATGCTCAACCCATCTCTGGACGTACTCGACCTTTTGGAGTATTCAGAATATTTTATACCCTCAGCCATATGGCTAGAGAGGGTATACATCATTTGATACGGAACATGCCTAATCAAATAACGTTTTTTTAGGTCAAATCAATTTTAGGGCATTTGGAGTCGATCTAGGGGTGTCCGTCCGTCTC